GGGTTTGGGGTGGCAATGAAGTCATTTTGTCATGGAGCACATAGTTACACACTATCAGTCTTATTCATCATAAAAACATACACGAATGAACGATAATAATATACCACTCTTTAAACAAAGCACGAAGATCGTAAAACTTTAGTATAATTTCTGTTAATTGTTTTTATTACAGCGTACATCTAGATCTGTAGCTTCTAGATGGAACAACGAGAACACATTAGGCTAGCAATGGTTCAACTGCCAATGATGACAAAATCGAAGTCAATAAGTGGAAGAGTTAGTTCTTTTTTTCCTCTTGGGCTTGGGGTCTAGCTCCACTCTTCCGCTCTGCCTTAGGCTGAGTTTTTAGAAGCAGACTGCGCCACTTGGGATCTGCCGAGAGCTTGTAATTCTGGTCACAAAGGCAGAGAAACAAATATAAGATTATAGACGTATTCAACAGGAACAGCGACAGAAGCAGTGACAGAAGCAGCAGCAGCAGCAGCAGCAGCAGCAACGTCAAGAAGAAGACGACGACGACGACAACAATAGCAGCAGAAGCAACAACAGCAAATAACAACGACAACTAATGGTTTCGACAATTTTAAATTAATAATTGAATATTACAGTATAGTAATATCCTAAAGATAAATTATATAAGATACCTACAGCAGATCTGGGCAGAAATGCACAGCGAATTTCAGAGCTAGCTGGTCTCTGTTGGGACAGAGTAGATGACGGATTACATCCAAATGGGGGATATTAACATGTTCTTATGCACAGTAGAAAGGTAAATGGGCAGATTTATTAATCATGTCATGCTCATTCTGTGCCGGAACAACATAGGGGGAACTGCTACTTTTTCTTTTCTCATCCTTTCTATCGTCGTTTTTTCCTCTACTTCTTTTGTATGTTTGTCACTCTCTTGTGAACTTCTATTTCCGGGGTGCCTTGATAGCCGAAGCAGACTTTGTACTGTTGAGGCTAGAGAGGTAAGCAGAGTAAGCCTGATTCCCCGTTTGGACTTCTCTGTTGACATTCACCCCTTGGCGCTCATTTGACCGTATGCCGTTGCGTGGCCCGTAAAACCTTACTAAAACCAAAGATCGTACATAACAAGATAGTTTACTACTCTTTCCGAGCCAATTTTAAAAGTGTCCTCAAAATCCGGTGGCGTCATCTTCGAAAGAGCGTGGACTTTGCGAACAGAGTTACCCTACTTGTGTGGAAAAACAATAAAAGCGAAACTAACAAGCTGTGCTATTCCTATTCTTCTTCTGAAGAAACGAAAGAGAGCTTCAAAAACAAAAGACTGCAGTGCCATCTGATCCGCGGACATTTTTTTGGCCGAGTGAACTGTCTCGCTATGAACGATCTTTGCTAAAACTAAACATATTCGGCCCGTCCAATGCTTGGTGCTATCGGTTCACATTGTACTTTAGTTCACCCTTGGGCCTTAAGCCCTGAATCCAGCCTGCGAGTATTTCTTTCACAATTGTCTGGTGGCGTTTTATTGGACCAAAGTGCTGTATCTTTCTCCCTCAAAAAGTAGGCTCTGTGTCTGTACAACCCTTGCTTGAGAATAGCGTCTATGAGAATTAGAATGGTCTAACTTCCCTTTGAGTAGTTTTGATGAACCGTTGTAAGAAAAGAAACAAATGGAAACGTGATATAAACAACAACCAAACAAACGAAAAACCAAAGTAATAACAACACTATGGTTTGTCATCATCATCATCATCATCATCATCATCATCATCATCATCATCATCATCATCATCATCATCATGGAGTGCTAGTTCTGAGACAGACCTCGGTCGTTATGGTTCGCAACTCATATCTCTGCTCTGACGTCCTACAAAAAAAATATTTATATGTATATGTGAGGTAGCGTGGAGAAATCAGGCGCTCGTCAAAATCATGTTATGAAGGAAACCGACATTTTTTTCTGGCAGGAGGACAATTTTTCTCTCCGAAATTTCTTCTTGTTTTTGGCTCAACATTTTCTATGTTCATTTAAGAACACACAACTGTGTGGGGTGTTACTGAAATACGTTGATCAAGGGCACACAAAATGTAAATAATATATACGGTTTCCAAGGACCATCAAGCTTTCGAAGTCACCAAACTTTGGCGGCTATTTTCTCGCTAAAATAACCTCTGACACCCGGCGACCTCCCCCCTCCTTCAAAAGGTAAACATTTTGAATTCTATTCAAGATAAAGGGGTATTTTTTTTTCGTCAAAGGCAAAACAAATGAACTTGCTTAAAGACGATAATAATAGCTTCATATGCCCAAAAATTAACGAGCACCTGATTCTACCGCGTTGTGAGACAAATTATTGTGCTGGTCTTTCCCTATCGCCCGTCTGTTCAAGTTCTCTATAAGCTGTTCTTGGTCTATCTCTGCTTCTTTTGCCTTCTATTTTCCAGCAAAAGCAGCACGATTTCCAACGCTTTTATCATACGTGATAGACTTTAGATCTGTGTCTCTTCACATGTCCCAGAAACTTCATTAAATGATTTTGTCGCTTTCCTGTTTTTATAAAACGGACTTTTTTTTCGGCACTTCCTCATTTGATTTTGTCACCTCTCTTTCCGACAGCGAGAAAATCCTTCATAGGCCTTACAACAAATTATTATGAGTTAGAGCTTAATTCTAATAGGAGGAAGGACATGATTTTTATTTTATGGTATTAATGAGTCAGTATTCTAAAAATTCTAACCCAGAAAGGGAGATTGACCACTTTTTCTCTCAAGGGCGTCCACGATTAACATCTAAGTTGGTTGCTTTCAAGGGCAAGCGGGCTCACCCAGATTTCAGGGGTTTCCAGGAATCTTGACCTACACCAAATGTGGAAATTGGCCTACCTATAGGAGAAGTTTGTTTTTTTAGTAGAGGTTTTACAGCGCTCGCAACTGCATAAGGTCATATGAGCGCCTTAGGAGAAGTTTGGTTTCGTTAGTGCTTGTATATGTTTGGTATAAATAGAGAAAACTCTCCTTGTCTTTTAAAGAAACTGAACAAAAAGGGTCCAAAAACTTCACGTTCGATTTTCTCAAAACAGCATTTTTCGGGATAGATCTAGCCCCCTTGTGCTCAGAAGCGACCAACTATAAGTACGAAATCAAAACACAGATCAATATTTGCGATATTTACCTTCATGGGCTGCAGCTGGCCAAAGTTGGAGAACTTGGGATGGCACCACGTGACACTAATGTGGGCGGGGCCTACATGACAGTTCACGGCTCTTTTTTTT